CTGGGACGGGGGGTGCCACATGAGGCGTGAATCATCGAGTGTATAGAAATGTTATCGGCGTTAATTTGGTTACTAAAGGTTCGCCAAATAAGGATAGGAAAGTATATGAAAAAAATGAATATAAAGAGAACCGAACGAGCGAATAAAGAGAGGAACACAGCACGGAAGTACAGTGTTATGAGAGGAAGGAGCAGAGCAGAAGGGTTGAGATTCCAGCCGTCCGAAGCATTATGATTTTTTCCCCACCACAGCAGTTATGGCATTCGATGGCAGTCATGTGAGAGACCACCGAATTGCAGGAGAACAGGGTGGTTACCGGCAAGGTGGCGTGCAGGCAGGGCATCAGGGTGTTGTCGGTGATTTTGGGTTGCAACAACACATAAAATAAAAGAGGAAAAAATAAAACGTTAAGGGTATTTAGGTTGCAATTAAGCGTTATACATATGTATATAATCTACATATATATGTATCTGTGTATACGTGTATATATATATATATATATATATATATATATATATATATATATATATATATATATATATATATATATATATATATATATATATATTCATATATAGAATAATAAGGGAAAACAAAACTAACAGTTACCCCTAACTTTCTTTTTAAACTGAATATTGAATAATTAGTCATCAAAGAATATAGTATCATTATAAAATCATCTTTCATTTAAACCACTATATTCCTAACCGTCTTCTTACCTCTAAAGTAAGTACCAAGGGAATGAGACTGGAAATGGCAACAGCCTAAGAATACCTAGCGTCTAAAGAACAAGTGTCAAGAAGATATATGTCAAGGAGATATATGACACCCAAAAAAGCAAATGACAAAGAATACACTGACTAGAGACTGGGATACTCAGCACCAAAATAATGATAATAATAAGTAAGAACAAACATGAGAAAAAAAAAATCCCAGGGGGTCGAGGGTACGTACGAGATATCTGACATGGTCATGACAGGTCGGACGGATTCGGTGTGCGTGGCTGACATGGAATTGCCCATGCCTTCCTCCTGGTAGATCTCCTTCAGGTCGTTGCTCAGTGGCACGATAAACTCGTTCTGGGTCACCTCCCTAGCAAGGGTTAAAGTGGGTCAGTTTCTTTGTCTTAGTTTATAAATTAGTCTTGTTGATTTCACTGCAATAGTATTTATGATTGATACTAAACATTATCATTATCACCAACACAATAATGATAATGATAATGATATAGATTGTGATGTTAAAGATGGTGACGATTATTACCACTTAATACATTTGGACATTAACACTACTACAAAACGTAAATCTACTCACATCGTAGAAGCGAAACTCTCCAGATGCAGAGAAATGACGAGGTTGTAGAAGCCCATCCTGAGCGGGCCCGACATGTACTCGCTCTGCATGGCGTACAGCAGCTGCCTCTGGTCCACGTGAGAACACAGCGTATGGGCGGCCCTGTAGTTGCTCTGGTAACACACAGCGCAATATAGGGCTAACGTCTGCGTGTGGAAGGCGAGTAATTTGTCGTACTCGATGAGTTCGAGGATGTCGATGCACCGGTCCTCCTCGGGGATGTGGAGGGCGAGCATTGGCACCGAGTCCTCAGCCAGCATGGACCAGCCACGGATGTCTGAGAGCTTGAGGGCGTGGATCCTCAGGGACGTGTTGGGGACTCGAGACCACTGGTGGGGCTGTGGGGAGAAAGAGACGCGTGCTTTAGTGATGGGTTTGTTTCCATTCATCAATCTTCACCAAATCCCATTCTCTTCTTTTCTCGCTACGCACTCACTCCTTATTCCCTACCTCTCTCCATCCCTTCTTCTTCTCTCTCCCGTTCATCTCCCTTTATCTCCTCTCCTCTTCCTCCCTCCCCTCCCCTCCCCTCCCCTCCCATCCCATCCCCTCCCATCCCATCCCATCCCATCCCCTCCCATCCCCTTCCCTCTCCTCTCCTCTCCTTGTCTCTCCCTCCCTCTCTTCTCCATTTCTTTTCTCTCCCTCTCTTTCTCCTTCCCTCCCTCCTCTCTTTCCCTCTTTCTCTTTCCCTCCTTCCCCCACCCCTCCCTCCCTAACTCCCTTCTTTCCCCCGCCCTAGCTCCTCTCTCCCTCCCTCCACCCCATCGTCCCTCCATCTCCCTCACCTTCAGGATCTGGACCCTGAGGCGCGGCGGCATCTGAGGAGTGACGTGCTTCTCGCTGTTCTGGAGGACGGCGGCGCTGAGAGGGAGCGTGGTGGCTGTGCGTCCCAGCTCGATCTGCAGCACCTCCTTGCTGGTAGGCTCCAGGAACACGCCGGGGAAGAGCTTGGTGCCGGGCTCCATGCGGTACTTGTGGCGGGTATCCTTGCCGTCGCACTGCAGGGTGATGAAGCCAGTGGAGGTGTCGATGAAGCACCCGATGAACATGCCCTGCGACGTGCCCTTGCCGCCCACGTCCGAGGAGACCTCCGCGTGGAGTTCGTCGGCGCGGAACATGTAGCAGCTGTGTCGCTCCACACTGC